ATCTCACAAGGGAAGTAATGTAGGAAATTGCCCCTTTTTTGTCCCCTCTGTTAAACATATGCTAATGGCTAGTTGTACTACACTTTAGCCTAAAGACCTACTCTATCAAATTTTAAGTCTGGCTAAAAAATTAGTACGTATACATACATACATACATGTATGTATACATGTATACATTCCTCTTATTTAGCTAAATGTTAACTGATTTCAAAATAAATTTCAACATGGGAATAAAACAATGATTGGAGGCATGAATAAACATAATAACTCAGAGCTGTGTTTAAATCGTCTAATGAAAAGACACATTTGCTATTTGTCAAAAGACGTTACATTCAGAAACTTATTTGTTACATAAGGGCTTCTAAATTTTAAAATAGTAGAAAAGGAGAGCTTGTAATTACTTGTGATTTCCTCAGAAAAGAGTAATTACAGATATGTGAGCCATCTGCATATTTAGCATAAATAGGCTAGATAGCTAGTAAGCTATACTTAGTTCATATTTTGAGATAATATGAAAGTTTCAGCTAGTACTAACTACCTCAAACAAAAACATATATCAGCTTACAGCAGCAATACATACAGTTCCAACAACTGTCTATAAGAACAGGTTATATTCAAAACATCTTGGCTGCTATGAATAAGCCTAACATTGAAGTCTGAGTCAGGACCTTCTCAATAAAGGGCTTATGAGTAAAATCCACCATCCTCAAAAAACAATTTTTAAGCTGAACTGGAGGAGAGGAGGATGCTCTTTTCTCATTTTGGCTGTTGTATTTGGGAGCCAAGATCAACAAATACACTATTTAAGGCATACAGCTCCTCATCAGCCTGGAAGTAATTTACCATCCCTCTATGTTGTTTTGTCATTTGCACACAAGCACTTCTACTTCAAAGACTAGCTATTGCTATGACAAAAATCAAATACAAGAGAACTTACCTTAGTCTGCATACCCAGAGTGCGGAAAAACAGAATAAGATGCGTCATGAAACGAAGGAGGTGTCCTGGGAGCACACTTCTGTCTTTGGAAAGCCACCTGCTGAATTCTTCCATCAAACCTATAGACACCAAGGAAATGTCTGTATTAGCCATATCATGGGGAAAAAAAACAACCCTTAAAAATATTTCAAAATTACGCATTTATTCAATAAACACAATTTAGCCTCAAAAGTCCAACAAAACAGAACAGCAATAATTTTGGAAAGACTTGGCTTAAATATCTGCTGTATATATTTTATCATTTCTCAGGAAAAGTCTTGCATATATCCTAACACATTTACATGATTTCACGACTTCTTTGAAAACTACCTTATATGTCAAACTGCAGAAAGTCAAACTACACAAAGTCCCCACTGTTTTAGAGCTCAGCTTTAAGGCAGAGTTTGCCTACTGCATGCTTCTAATCCATTCACATTAAAGTTTCTGGAAAGGTCACTCAAAAATAATGTAGTCAGTTGACAATTAAAAATCACTTAGAGAAAGCTCACCGTCCACATCTCCCAGTATAATGAATTTCTGAATCACATGATAGTGTTCTTGATTCTCCTCTATAACCCTCTGGAGATAGAAAAAGAAATTTCAAACTTTGAATAAAATCTTATAGCCTAATGTATGAAGAAAACAAACTTATAAATAAAGCAAAAGTTCCTTGGGGGGAAAAAAGCTATCCTATTTCAAAGGGTATTCTTCATAAAGACCAAGAGAAAAGGCACTTGCTATCTCCATGTCAAATTACAAGAATATCGACAAACTGAAAGAACCTGAATATAGATCTGTACAGTTAATACTTTCATGGAAGAGATCCAAGACTAAGGGCTTTTTGCTCTGAAGAGGAGAATAAACAATAACATTACAGATAATAGATTCTACAAAGTCACATAAGAAGCAACAATGTGAATAAATCCCTAAGGAAAGGCCTGTGAAAGCTACTTGAGGAAGAAGATATTTTTTCCCCCCGCTATAGAGGAATTAATGCAAGAAATGCAATCCAAACACACCTGTAAATTTGCTATATGGTGAGGACTGCACTGTGTTGCAATGGCAAATGCAGCTGGGTGTATCTGTAGCTGACTGCATGTCTTTGTCTTAGCAATATGTGTCCATGCCATCAAATAAAAGTAAGTGTAGTTTCAATTTAATCATTGCAAAAGCAAACATGCTTTTGAATTTTGAGAGGTCTGTTCTGAAATATGCACACAAACCTCCTATAAAGAAAACGCAATGTAATCAATCTTTGAACATTCTGTCAGAGTTAAATAGTTGATTTACTCTTGTCTGCTTTGTATGTCCAAAAACACTTGACAGTCAGCTGTTTCTTTAGCACATGCAGCTGGTTTGGCAGATACAGGGCAAGACAAAATCTGTATAATTTTCATCATTAAAAGGTGGCAATATACTTGAATTGAGAAATAACACATTATAGAGGTAGAAAATATAAAATGCCTCATTGTGCATATTTGAGCATTTCATCAAATAGTGCAGTAAAAACAGAACCTCGTGATTGGTAAACAGGGAGGAGAAACACTGCAATTATTACATACCTTTTTGTCTGTTGCCTGAAGTTCTTCAAAAACCTTTTCAGAAGTCCAGCTTCAAAGTAGGAGAGAAAAGACAAAAAACATTACCTTGAATATTCCAAACAGATCATACAGGATGCTTTGTTGAGTGTAGGAGCATAATTTTACTTGAAACTTACTTTGTTTCTAAATAGTCTCTAGGGAGTTCTTCCATCTCCTCTGCAGTTACCACGGAGGTTCGTATTTCCTGTTCAACTAGGGTGTCCACCATGACCCTGAAATATGCCCAAACAGTATCTTCCCAGGTATCACAAACTGGAAGAAGCTACAGATTAAAAAAACAGAGCAAAAATTATCAAGAGAGGGAGAACTATCTCCCAAACATAGCAACTGTAATTTATGATCAGATTTTTGGGCACCAAAGCAGACTAGTAACCATCACGAACAGCAGCCTTTCCTTCATCAAAGCAGGATGACTGAAAAGTCAGCAGGAATAATACTAAGAAAAGACTATCACATATTTAGTTAAGACGCAGTCCTGCAAGGAGCAGCACTGTTCGCCATTGTCCTGTTTACTACATCTTTAAAAGTACAATAACCAGTAATTGCAATATTTCTGATGAAATCTGATGATATCACTGTCATATATGAAAAAGAAAATGCACAACTACCAAACAATCTAGGAGGCTTGACCTACCTGTTTGAGGTTTCCACTCAGGGCTGCATAGATTGCTCTTTCATACCTATTAAACTGCTCCTAAAATAAACAGTAAAAATACCCAAACTTTTAATTACAAAGCATTTAAGTTTTCTAGTCACTTTACATTAGATTAATCCATTGGAAAATGTTCCATTTAACAGACAGAAAACCACAGGGGACACAAGGAGCCAAAACAAGAATAGCAAGTGACTTTCCCTTCACTAGCATCCCCTTGTAACTTACCTGAAAAATTTATATTGACCTGGAAAGAAAGCAATGTTTTTCCTTTCCCATTTAATTAAGTCAAGATGAAAGTCAAAGTGTCAGTGGTTTTACTTTCAACAAAAAAAAAAAAGGAACTCATTTCCTGAAAAACTGCTGCTGATTATGTAGATTTCTCACTACAGAACATAAATATGTTATTTCAGAAGTCCTCTTAGAAGCATTAATTGTAAATCCTATAAGCAGCAAACACAGAGGGGGTAGGTTTACTTAAAATCATGTTTCAGAGTTCAGGAAAGTTCAAATGTATGTGTTAATATCAAGCAAACCAGCATTATCTTACCTCTTCAGCCATACGCCAACAACAAATTTTCCAAATGCACCTGTATGGATTGCCTTGAACAGGCTCCAGCTCTTTTCCTACATGCAAAGATAATTAAAAAAAAAAAAGGGAGAGGGTGTGAGGAACAAAAGAAAAAAATGCTATTAAAAAAAGAGAACCCAGTAACAGGTAAAGCCTATTTTCTGTTATTAACCCAATTTCAATCGCTTTGAAACTTTTCCCAAAGCATTTTGATGCTTTTGACTGGACCACAAGGTGGCTGTTCTGGGAAGTTTGGTAAATTTGTATCTATAAGTTACAGTATTTTTAAAGCTTGGTTGCTATCTAGCTTTGAAGAAAATTATTGTTTTGGCTATAGTGTATCTACAATGTCAACATTTGGAAAAACAACAAAGTTAAGGAAAAAAAAGGAATTTTTATATCTTAAGGAATCAAAACTTTTAAAAAATGTCACTGTTTCAGTGCTGCTATTTTGTATGCACTTGCATGAGGGCATTCAAACCCATATAACAGCAAGTTAGGTAGGCAGATTCAAAACAAGCCCAGGACACTGGTGTAGCATGCAGATAACAGTGACAGGCTATCGGGATTTGAAAAGTAGGAAAGCATTATGCCTTCCACTCCCACCTATAACCAACACTTAGACTTGTTCTTAAATTCCTTGCTAAATCCTGCAATGTCCTGAGCATAGAGAGAAGCAAGGCACTGTGTTATAAATGGGACCGTGTGCAAGGAACCTTAGTACCAAGGGAAAAGGTAGTTTAATAATTTTCAAGTATTTTAAAAGCCTCTCTATTTCCTGCACTTGCATTTGCTGAACTCTAGCCCTACTACACCTTTCTGAAGATACAGAGTCCAATTTGAGTTTGTAAGCAAAAAATGTGTACTAGATAGCGCAAGTCAGATGTTAAGAAAATACAGACTGAAGTATCATATGGAGGTGGAGAAGATCTGTCTGGAACTCTGAGACATCTACTTCCTAGTGATTATGCCTGATTTTAAAAAAGAAAGTGACTTTAACATATTTAGATGAATTCAGTGAACTCATACTTTCAACTAAAGTGATTTCATATTAGTTTTTACATGTTAACAGACATGGGAAAATATTTTAGATACAAAAAAGGCTCTTAAGAAACAGCTATTTCTCTTTGCCACAGACAGATATTAAGAGAAAGCCCTCTGCTCTATTTTTATATCTGTCTCAAATGCACTTTGGAGCAGATACCTCCATTTATGTTTGGATCATGATACAATTTCCAGCCTTCCAAAGTTGCAGCTCTCCAGGCCTGACCACATCGTTTGCATAAGCGCTGTGCCTGAAAAATAATGGATTTTCTCAGCAACACACTTTAAGGTAGGAAAATCTCTAGCTTCTTTAAAAATGTGAACATTATTAAAATAGTTAATTTGTGTAGATTCTACTATGTGAGAAATAACCACAGAGGATCTTAAACTCAAAACAACAGAAAGATTTCAAAGTAAATGTCATTCTTTTTTTTTTGTCGCCAAACTTTTTAGTTTTTCAGTCAGTATTTATAGCAATGTGAGAAATGTGCTACAGCTTCATCTTTGTTAGCTTAAACAGCTACTACACATCCTTCTGATAAGTTTTAAAGTGTTATCCTGTTGCTTATATGTATAATCCATCTCTTCATGCAGTCATCTACTTTTCCATTTGACTTAGAGCCCCAAGTGAAGCTGTGAATTTATATTCATGTTCGTAATGCCCTGCAGCAATATGCTCACATTCCCATAATATGAGACAATGAATAGATGTGCGCCGTATTGGAACAGAATATGAGCAAATAACCATATTCCTAAGACTAAGGTCTTTGCAACAAGACTCTCAAGTCCTCTTTCTCTCCCTTTACTCAACTGCCATTATATATACATGCATGATAATCTGCTGATGATTATAAACACAGTTAGGAAGTTCTTTGAAACATTCTGTGTGTTTTCTGGCAGTATTTAGTATCAAGCTACAAGAGTGAAAAAATATTGTCAAACAACCAAAAAACCCCAAAGTACGTTTTTTCCGTAACATCTACTCTATGCCCAAAATTACTTAACTAAAAGCAAGATTTCATTAAAATGCTAATTTAGCACTCAATATTGACAACAAATTGAAAATCATCACAAGCCAAACTTAAACAGACATTTTAGTATACAGCTTTTCATTGGCTTTAACAGTAAGATATTTTAAATCTTACTTAATTAAAAGTTATGCTACCTCATCTGTCATTCCTGCTCTGATGAGAGTGAAGAGATACTTCAATAACCTTGCATCATCTTCTTGGTCCAAATCATCAAGTGGCAGTTTCTGTCGTATAGGAGCATCTGGATCCTGGGAGAAAAGAAGTCACCACTCATCCACACAATGCCTATATGTCTCTTCCATTATATTCCTGCCCTGTTTTATAATTTGGAGTCATTTTTTCATGTTAGCACAACAATCTGTACAATGCATGTAATATTGAGCATGATATTTTTCAGTTTTTCCTCTCTCATTTCTTTTATTTCTCTTCTGTCACTGTTCCTACTCAAAGAAGCCAATGCAATTTATTTATTCCACTGCCTTGTTATTTGCCCTAAACTTCTCATCTTCCGGGTCTCTTCTCACCTTCAAACATCCTTTCCCCTTCCGTCTATCCATCTACCACTGTTTCTCCTCCTCCACCTTCTATCTGAGAAGGCTTTTTACAACAGCGGCACTCGATTCTATTTAATCCAAACAGATTTTCTTAAGCCACTCAATACCTCAGATCACTCCCCAACTGAATCAATCTTCTACGACTGCTTTGCTGTCACTGGGGCAGTTCATTACCTCGTTCTGCTGGACAGTACTTTCTTTTCTTGCCTTCTCTCCTATTAGGTCTTACTATAGTAGCTCTCAAAGAATTGCTTCAGGACTTGGTTTCATTGTACTAGTCACTACATAAAGACAGAATTCCCTTATTTGTAATGGCTCCAATGGCTCCCAAACATTTTTCTAAGCTTTTCTGGTTAGGAACATGAGTATCTTTCAGACATAAAAAGTCATAATAAAGCCCTTTACTTCACCAAATAGGCCACAAGTACTTGTGATGGGGGGTGGGGATATGGAAGTGACTCCTGAAAGAAAACAGAAAACCACAGGGATCCCAAAAAGAACTTTTGAGGTGCCCTGCCTCACAATTTCTGTACTGATTTTTAGATAGCACAACTATCTAAGAATTGATGGAAAGCTGTGAAAATAGCTCTAACATATTCTGAAATCAAGCCTTATTTTTATCTAATACTTACCAACTCTGTTACCAGAGCTCGAGAACTTCCAGTGTATGTACTTGACTGTCGCTGCTTCAGGGTATGCAGTGTGTTATCCCTGAAAGCAGTGGAATGTTTTACAGAAAAATGGTTTTTTAGCAAGCATCTTTTAATAAGACACAAATATTGAAAGATATTTTTTCTTACATGGAATACGTTTACAGAACAGACACTTGGTTTGGTTGATTTATTATGGACTGTGCTACTGTTGTGAAAATGCAACATTTCACAAGAGGTACAACATTGGAATCAATACACATTTCTCTGATTCCTTTCAAAAGCATTGGAATCAATACACATATCTCTACTTCCTTTCAAAAGCATCCATTATTTCAATCATTCATGTATTTAACTATTAATTGATTTCTGCATAAGAAAAATTTCCCATTAGCATTCACTATAAATTCAGTCAAGGACAGAAATTCAGCTTAGGATAAACATGATTCCAAAAGCCTACATTCACTGGCCATTAAAAGCAGGTTTTTAAAGGAAGTCTTTGGTCTTTTCTGCCAAATCCATCAGTGATAATAAAGATGACAATAATGGCTTCTAGTGAAGGGTCATAAAGGGACAAGTACTTAAACAAGCAAAAATTAAAGCCAGACAAAGAAGTGACCACCTGAGAAAGACATAAAAGTAATCCTCATCTATGTTAAGATTAATTTAAGTTGGTTTGATGGTTTTTCCTTCCATCCTTGCCTCCCAAAATGCAGTAACTGACATCTGAGAAGATATACTTCAGCAGACAGGTAAGAAATCTCAATTTTTACATCTCTGACTTTGAAGAAAAGAAGTGAATGCAATGAACAACTTAAAAAATCCACTTCTTTCCAAGAGTGATTCTGTGAATGTGAATCTTACACTTGATGGGAGTATGTATATAATTAAAGAAAGTCTGAACTCACCAATATACTGTTTTTGCATAAAACTCAATATTATCAGAGAAGTCCCCAATTTCATCCTTAGCGATGCTCTCTAGCCAATCTACCACCAGCTGGAATAAAATTAAATTGCATTTTTAAAGCAAATATGTAACAAATAATACTTTTACTGTCTTCCTCTCATTTCTGTATCTATTTGTTATCTACTCGGCAATCTAAAGGCATACAAATCCAGAAGACTATTTCACTTGCATTTTAAGTATCCAGTATGAAGGTTGTTGGCACTTAATCTCTATTTCTCATTGGATGGTGCAGTTTACTACAGTGCTATTTAACTGTTTATTAATCACAATCAACAGTAACAGACGCTGCAACTGGGAACAGCTCTCAGCCTTTCATTGTCCCCAAGCCAGACTGAAAAAACATCCTGACCGTTAGAAACTAGAGAGCATTATTTTTATGCATAGAAGGAATACTACACTTGAGTGAATATGAAAAAAAAGTATTAGAAACAACTTCAAAAAGTGCATAGAACATTAGTGTTATAAACATTTAATCTATTTTCATTCTCATATTAAAAACTTTCCATCATACCTGACTTTGTCGAACAAGTGAATCTTTCTGAAACAAGTTGTCTACGTTTGTTTTTTCACTAGCAGTTAAAACCTGTTTAAGAAAAAGCTGATTATTACTTCATGGAAAAGAAAACTGCTGCAAAAAAGGAATATCAAACTGAACACATAGTAATTCATAAACTTTCTACAAGTTCAGTATGCTAGCTCTCCCCTCCCCCTTTTTAAAAAATGGATGACACTATCACTTGTTTTATTTGGATGATCTTTTACATCCAGTTACACTAAAAACTGTAATAATGAGATTCAGCATATAATTCACAAATTTATGACCACAGAAAGATTCTACACAGTAGATCCATGGATTCCACTGGCTGCACTCATCTCATCCTAAATCCCATTTGTTACTATACATTAAAAAGATGAGATTTTCCAAGATCATGTGCACATTTAACATAAACAAGTGTGAAAAAACCAAAAAAATAAAACCAGAGCCCTGATCCTTCTATCTGATCTCCTGCACTAATTTAGCTTCCATTAGACTTCCAATAAAAAGAGAACAGGAGATGCATTTTTCTAAATTACACAGATAAGAGGAGACTGGGTTTTTTTTGGCACATCAGTGTTTAACAGTGACAACTTAGCACTGGGAATTCTAGAGTAAGCTATTTTATTTTCAAGAAGAAAGCAACTGTGATCACAAATTTTACAAAGGCAGAGTCTTTTTACTTATTGTTTTGTCTTCCTAAGCAATTCTGGCAGCAAAGACTGGAAGCGCTGTATTGACATAGACAAGACGACTACAGCTGAAACAAGAATGCTAAAAAACCTGAATTTCTCTTGAAATAAATTGTAGTCAGAATTGCAAAGGCTAGACAGTTTGAGACCACATGTTCTTCTTTTAGCCAAAGCAAAATTATCTCTGACCTATGGGAACATTACAGCTACTGATGCAGCTTTTAAAAACAAATAAATAGTTATTTCTAGTGAATTTAGGTTTGTCTTGTGCAGAGCCAGGAGTTGGATTCAGTGATCCTCACAGGTCCCTTCCGACTCATGGTATTTTATGATTTTCCAAGTGTATGTGGAATATTTAGGGAAATAAAACAAACAATAGTTTAGAATATTTTTTACACTAGCATTCTCTCTTTAGAACTGAATATTTAGATTTACTCTTCACAATATACGAAATAATTTAATATTTGTCTTAATAAAAATCAGTCTCATTTTTCACCTTTGAATTTTGAGATTCTAAAAGTACAATGAAAGCATTTAGCTTGTATTTTGCTTATTTAGCTTCTTATGACACTTAAAAAACACAAAAAAAGTCCACACTCACTGTGACATCAAATGCAGTTTCATCTTCCAGTGCAGACTGTATTCTGTCTCTAGAAATAAAAGTGCAAAACGTTAATGATTAAAATAAAGCTGAGAAAATTTAACAGAATGCATGAGTAAAAATACTTTAAAAACATTTACAAAAATGTTTAAAAAAATACTAGAAGTTGCAAAGGTAATAAGAACAGTCCTCTTTAAAACTTTCATTTCTGTAAATAGATAATCAATAGACACATATATCAGAACCTAGTTCCATAAACAGCTTGCTAATAGGTACTTAATTGCTTCACTCCCTATGTATAAACTCATACAAAACATATCCAAGAAAGTCATCTCTGTACAAAAACATAACACGCTTTTCAAAGGAATTACCTATAAAGCGAGGACAACAGTCTCCAAGTTACCATCTCCTGCTTAAGAAGCCACAAGACACTGGCAGTTTTGGAAAACTTTTGCTGTCCAGGAGTTGCCCGATAAACTATTTTCCCCAGTATATTCACCTGAGGTAGATAAATTTATACAGAGTTAACATTGCCCATCAGTGTATTTTTTTTCTAAATGCTTTCAACAACCGAGTTTCATTACCATCTCTTCAAAATAGGTAGACAATACATTGTAAATTCTCTTAATTAGTAATAAAAAAACCCCATTAACACAGACTAGAGGATATAAACCAAGAGAGTGGTTGCAGCCACCAAAATCCCCAGCTTTTTTCCCATATACGTCAATATCAAACATTAAGTTAGCCCTAATGGTATTTATGCATTTATCCATGCCTGAAAGATACTTTTTCCTTTCTAGCTCTGTTAAATGAGGGAACCCAATCTGCTGGTTACCACATAATTTATAGTATCACCACAAAAAAATTCTACTATTTTTTCCTTTGTTTACTATGAAGAAAACTACACAATGAAGTCTTTTCCATTGGTAGCTAGTTCCAGAGCTCCTACTACTTCCAAGAAGAGTCCCAGTCTCTTATATTTTAGGGGTATCCAATTCATCGGGCATCAATATAGTCACTGGTTTTCAAGTGGGAGATGAACAACAGATTTGGAGAAAAGGAATACGTGTACCAGTAAGATGCAAGAGGGGAGCACAGTTTTCTGTTCTCTTTTATTACCCCCCTCCCTGAAAATATGAAGAGCTTATGGCTGCTGGGAACCACTGGGCTAATCTGAGGGTACAGCTGAGAAGCAGCACGATAGCTTAGGGCTGTCCCTCCACTCCCATGCCAAGCCCCACCAGCAACGTCCAAGCTACACCTTAGAGCAGCATCTTTCACTGTACTCTTGTACATCCTTGGCAACATACAGTCAACTCCTCTCAGTTCCACATGGCTTAAAACACCCATTCTATTATTCCCTGACCTTGTAGATGTTATCCATATTCTCCAACAGGAGTTCCACTATCTCACAAAATAATCAAGTTCACATTTATTTTCCTCTTGTCTGCTTCCTACCTGAGCACCTGTACAATTGTGGTACATGCCTCATTAAAGATCTCAGCATTCTCTATCTCAGCCTCAGTAATAAATTTGCACAAAAGATGGCTAGCAACCCTCCATTAAGAACAAATTTTCCTAACACAGACATAGGTATGAAGTCTCCTAAAAAAACTTAATCTGCACACCTCTCTTGTGATCAACACTTACTGACAGAAGCATCATAATTTCTTCCTTTCAGATTGTCAATCCCTGCTGATTCTGAACTGACAATCAAACGACCAGTCAAATGAAGAACTGTGTCTAAAATCAGAGACACCTTAGAGCCAGTGCTGAGTCCTCTACGGCCAGCTTGTTAGTAACGCAGCAGAAAACTTAAAGCATCATAATACAATGATTTTATTTATTTATACCTGAGAAAAATAAGTACATTTTAATCCAGCTTATTGACACTAAGAAAAATATCTGTACATCTGCTACCGTGAGTTGCCACTTGACACTTGCAGTGGAGTGGCAGCCAGATGACATTTTTTAGTATTCAGCAACTACACCACGGGTATTTCTGTGCCAAAGTAGTGTATGAAGAAAGAGTGATGTTCATCATTGAGTGATACTCAATGCTAGCATGACTCGTAACACTGCAACCAGCTGGAAGATTTAAAGTATGTTAAGCACTCTGACTTCTCAGCAAAACTGCTTTGAGAAGGGCAAGTAAACTACTTACCTGACTGTTACAAATATTTTCATACTCATCCACAAGATCAAAAATGGTAGTTGATGTATGCTTCAGGAAGGAATGCAGAAAATCTGAGTACATGCTCATAGTAGCTAGGACAGATTTAATAAGAAAGCCATATTAGTCAGATGCAACTTCATAAAAAAACCCCAACAGACTACAAAAAAATTCTTCTGATGACAAGGCATCTCATCTTTCACAAATTTAAATGAGAACATTGATGATATCAACTATTTAGATCCGATAAAGTCATAAGAACTTATCAGCTAAGACAGCAAGACAGACAGAAGCTATGAACTAAGTAAAATAATTAGAAAACTTTTGCTGTGGATATGTCATCTGCAAAAGTTTTAAAAGCAAACTCATTTGAGTATCTCCCCAGTCCACTAATCCAGTTGTGTCTGACATCACCAGAGCATCCCAATTTTTCCATCAGGTTCCCCAGAAGACACAAATTCGCAAAACTCCAATAAACTGGAACAGCTTAATTTTCTGAACTTTTTCAACTAGACTGTTTTTGACTAAGAAATAGCAGCAAAATAATAGAGAAAAAACCCCAAACATATAAATTTATATCCCACAAATAAGATTATTATGAAAACTCCAGATTGTCTCACCAGCTTCCCCAGGATCATCCTCACGCAACAGTACAGCACTCATAGTGACATCTTCTGTCATATTGGACAGGTCTGGATTTACAAACATTCCTGTCTGCTGAGGCGAGAGTGCCATTGTCCAGCTACTTTCATCCAACTAAAACCACAAGAACATAAAGAAAATAAATCGCAGTCTCAGATATTACAAGCCTAGTTCCACGTTTTTTCTTCTATATGAACGGTATATAAACAGAGAATCCTAAAAAACTAATGTGAAATAACTGCATTTAGATAAGGTGCAACTATGCCTTTAACAAACAGCTCTGAAAAGATAAATTTTAATCTGGAAAAAGAAAAATCCCTTTTTTCCCCTGAAAATAACTAAAATGGAAAAGTTAATCTAGTAAACCTACCTACTTTAGAATATCAGGTATCACTTTTCATCATAAAACAAATAAATCACTCTAAACTTTCATATTCTATTATGTTAAATGCTTAGCTAGTCTTTCAAAGTAAAAAGAACACAATATTGATCAGGTTCTAAAGCAGCTGTGAAAAGTTAAGCAAAATAGCTAAAATTTGAATCAAGGTCTTTCAACCTTCTTGGTGAATTGCTCAAAACCATTTGATCAATGGCAGCAATATGTTTAAAATAATAGCAAGTATCAGAATATTAAAGGAGGAAATAAAGACATACCTATACTTTGTGGGGAGTATTTCAGGTGAGGTATTTCATAACACATCTGACACCAGAGCAGCAAAATGACCAAAACAGAAGACTGACTGTACATATACTGCACTGACAGGACAGCTTCCTAGAGGTGTTTCCATGCCAGCAATTGCCTTCTCAGCAGCAATTAATACTATACAAAGACTTAGAGATGTGCTGCTGGCTGATTGTTTTTCTGGACTCTTATTTCTACCCACAGTATTCCTCTTGCCTGATCTCTCTCTGCCATTAATCCCCTCTAGCCAACCAGAACAGAATGCTATAGTCCTCCCTCCACAGAGTAAAAATAACAAACACAGTTCCAGCAAGATCATATCAGGTCTCTGTGGGAAATACAAAAAGGGCTGATGAGTGTTCTTATCTACCAGCAAGTAAATTTCCACAAGTAAAAGTCCTTTTTCCTGTCACCCTCCTCTGAAAGCCTTTGTCTAGTCCCAAATTTCCCCTCCTAATCTAAACTGGATTCAAGTCAGAGCACTAAACGTTAACCTAAAAACACATTCCACTCACCAAGGATCAACTAGGCCCTAGAAGGTGATAACTTATAAAGAAACAACTAAAAGGGAGAATTAATTAAAATGCATATACAGAAAGACATCTAAACTTCTTTTAAGTTAATTTAAAAAAAACAGATAAAATACTTCAGACATCCCTACTGATAACTTTTCCAATCAATGTTTTTCCAAAAACATTGAAGTAGAAGATAATCAATGTCCTCTAAAAAGTCATCAGAAGAGCTTGTTCTTTGAAGTCCAAACTTTAACACCTAAATGAAGCCTAATACTGGAGAGTGCTAAAATAAGAAAAATTCTCAAGTTTTAACTTGCTGACATAGAACAATTATCTTTGAAGAATTTGTAAACAAGCAATATCAGGATTTTTGTAGTCACAAGCTCATGTTATAAGGACCAGTTTAACACACATGGTGCATTGGGAAAGTCCTTAAAACCTCCTATTATTCCTCACTGCATCTTCTCAAAGAACAACACAGTAATAAATAACACCAGCAGCAAGCAGCAACAGTAGTACTAGGAAGCTTATACCACCCACACTTTGTCCTTGGTGCAAACAACACAGAAATGCTGTAAACTTGCAGTTGCTTATGTTTCACAGGAACGAAAGAGAAAAAGATGCTCTAACCATCTTACCATTGACAGATTGCCGAAAAGCCCAGAAGTTGATAGAATCAGAGGAGATTTCCCTCCTGTTCCCAGGATGGCAGACATATCTGATGGCTTCATGGAGCTCCGATGTAGTGCAGTACCTGAAAGAGAGAGGCTTATATGTGACACACCTTCAGTTACTAGAGTTCATTGGTAAACACATATGAACACAAAGAGCAGTGCATCTCCAGTCACTCCTTCTTGGAAATTCGTCTCCAAATCCTTAAAGCAAAAGGCAACCACAAATCTGCTCTACCAAGCATTACATCTGCTCCAGATACTTCTGCACATCAATCCAGTGCCTAGTGTTCCCAGGAATATCTAACTCATGTAAACACTGCTTTGCAAGATAATAAATACCACATCCTATGACAACAGGGATATCCACCACAACAGGCCCTTCTACAAACCAAACATCACAGAATTTCCATCAAGACAATAGCTACTTTGGTCCCCTTATCAATCACAAACAGCTTCGGAAGCCATCTAAAAATACTGATTGCATCAAGACAGTGACAGACAGGAGCTGTGTCAATAGTGGCAGAGGGAATGACGTTTTGGTAGCCAATTTGGGGAGAGGAGTGCTTGTACAACTTTCAGCAGCAGTTCCTGGTAATAAGACAGCTTCAGTCAGCATTGAGATCACTAATATTTCCTTTTGGTCTCCTGAAATCCAAGGCATCGAAAAATGCCCACAACAGCATATACAACCCCAAAATAAAGGGCATGTCCTGGGTCTCCATCAGACTCCATCCAGTTTAGATGCAAAAGATCAAATGTCTATGGCACTTTTCTTTTTTTTTTTCCTCCAGTGCCTAAGGTAAACAGAACAGCAGAAGGTGCAGCCATCCTCTTGGAGCTTGATGGAAAACATACTGGTTAAATGATGACAAAAAAGAGGAATTCCCAATATGAATGCCTGAATGATAACAAAATAAAGATTATAGGAAGAGACTGTGACAGGGAAAGGGGAGGTAAGCCCTGGTGATGACATGGAAATGTAAGGAAGGGGCACATTTTTTTATTTCAGCCACAACTAGTGAGGGAGGTTCTAAGAAGATTACAGACCTTTTCACAGTATGTTTAGCATCAAGTCAACACTAAGAACAACAATGCTGACACATAAGTAGCTTCTGCTCAAGAAGAAGGCTGATGCTAACAGCATTTATCTTTGCTGCTGGCTGCCAAAATAGAAGCCAATCGATGTTACAGTAAACAAGAACAAGCAGGGGCTACACAGAACTTTGCAGGAACCTTGCAAAATCATGAAGAATCAGTCTCTCTGGAGCTTCATATCTTTGCACAAGTGCCAGTTATGGAAACTGGCCCCAAACATGCTCTTAATATGCGTCCACTGATGCAGAACTTGGGATGAGACTGGGAGGTTTCAGGGCAACCTGACCCTAGCCACCATGTGTGATTCCACAGCCTTTCTGTAAGGTGTGCTAATTTCTTCTTCTGCTAGTGGAGAGGGAATAATTAACTGATCCAACCAATAAATAAATATGCAGAAAGTCAGCAACAAAATTAACCTGTCAGAAAAAGAACGATGGAAAAATATCTGAAGACACACTACAAAACTGACAATCTTGAAGAATCAGAAGCTACTGCAAAATCAAAAGAAGGTTGCAAAAAGAAGGAAACAACAAACTGCTCACTAAAGCAGAGACACTGAAATGATACCAGACACCTTCTTGTGCCAAACAATGAAAATGAAGCTCAAACCCACTCTAAAAACTAAAGGGCAAAAATTCATTGTTAATCAGGAATAGCATAAGCGAATAACTTATGAACATAAATGCTGCCTGCTACTAGGTGTTTTTGTCCATTTTCAGAAATGTGTTTAACTGCAAAATCACAGAATCACCTTGTAGCTGAGTGTATTAGGTTTGCAAAGCTAGGTTTTGGTAGTGAGGGTGACTTCTGTCAGAAGCTGCCAGAAGCTTCCCCCATGTCCAGCAGAGCTAATGCCAGCCAGCCCCAAGATGGACCCACCGCTGGCTAAGGCTGAGCACCTCAGCAGTAGTGGTAGCACCTCTGGGATAACAGATTTAAGAGGGGAAAAAACTGCTGAGGGAACAGCAGCAGCAGAGGGAGGAGTGAGAAAATGTGAGAGCAACAACTCTGTAGAAACCAGGTGAGTGCAGAAGGAGGGACAAGAGGTGCTTCAGGTGCTGGAGCAGAGATTCCACTGCAGCCCGTGGTGCAGCCCATGGTGAAACAGCTGCTGTCCCCCTGCAGCCTGTGGAGGTCAGCAGTGGAGGAGAGATTCACCTGCAGCCCGTGGAGGACCCCACACCAAAGCAGGTGGATGCCCAAAGGAGGCTGTGACCCTGTGGGAAACCTATGCTGAAACAGGGTCCTGTCAGGACCTGTAGCCCTGGGGAGAAAGGAGCCCATGCGGGACCAGGTTTGCTGGCAGGACTTGTGACCCTGCAGGGGACCCATGCTGGAGTGGAAGGGACCCACACTGGAGTACTTTGTAAAGAACTACAGCCCATGAGAAGGACTCACATTGGAGAAGTTCATGGAGGACTGTCTCCCGTGGGAGAAATCCCACAATGGAGCAGGAGAAGAGTGTGAGGAGTCCTCCTCCAGAGGAAGAAGGAGCAGCAGAGAGGATTTGTGATGAACCGATCACAACTCCCTTTCCCCAGTCCCCTGCACCATGGGCAGGGGAGGAGGTATAAAACATGTGAGTAAAGTTAGGCCTCAGAAGAGGGAAGGTGTTTTTAAGTTTGGGGTTTATTTCTCATTATTCTACTCTGATATGTTTGTTAATCAACTAATTTCCCCAAGTTGAGTCTGTTTTGCCTGTGACAGTAATGGGTGAATGATCTCTCCCTGTCCTTATCTCTACCTGTGACTCTTTAATTACATTTTCTCCCCACCTTGTCCTGCCTGACATGGGGAATCATAGAGCAGTTTGGTGAGCAGCTGGCATCCAGCCAGGATCAACCCACTACGCTGAGTTTGGAAGGAACCTCTGGAGATCATCTGCTCCAAGTCCCCTGCCCAAGGGTGTGTCAACTAGAAAAGGTTGCTCAGGACCTTGTCCAGTCAGCTTGGGTTATCTCCAAGGACAGAGACTCCACAGACCATCTGGGTAACCAGTTCTAGCATTTAACACCCATTACAGAAAAAAGGTTTTCTTATGTTTGAACAGAATTCCCTGTATATGCTCTTGTGCCTATTGCCTCTTGTTTTTTCACTGGGCACAACCAAGAAGAGCCTGGCTCTCTTTTTACTCCCTGCCATCATTTATATACATTGACAAGATCCCCCAATCTCTTTCCCATAAACAATCCCAGC